ATTGTACCACCTAGACTTCTACTTTTCTTTAATAGTGTTTTTCAGTTGAAAAAAACATAGTGTTAGTATAATTACTTTGGTTTGCTTTCTCCAAAATACCTTGAAATCGAAGAGCAAATATAAACACATGCTCCTTATGAGTGGTCTGGGAGTAGGGAAAGAATACTGAATACCCTCACATCTCATCATTCCCTACTGGACTCTACCATGGGAAGGAAATCCTTTATGGAATATTATCTGTAATCACTACAGTGCTGAACTACTTGAAGATCATTAGCTTGGGTTCAGAGGCAGGGACAGCTAAAAACTTCAAACTTGGGGATGGTTTTAAACGCAGAGTAGGTATTTAATGGTATCTTTAAACTCTTAGAACCTACCAAGGTTTCGAAATCCTGATGATCCCTTTATGACAAGTGATTATTGTCCCCAAAGTGTTTCTGACAGTCACATTTGCTTTTACTTGCAATAGAAATAACACAAGCATAATATCTTTTAGAGAATTTCAATGCCTTGCGTCTTGATGCTGGTCAGAAGCCCTAGGTCTGTGGTTTAGGCATTTAAATCCTTTTTGTAACATATGCAAGTATGGTATGATATAGTGCAACTAACATAATACTAATATGGATTAGTTTTGCACAGTTATGGCCTCTTAAAATTGAGATTAAAATATTTCAAGTACTCTTTCCTAAGCTATTGAATTTTAAACAATGTGGTTTAGTAATGATGGTGTAAGATATGTCTGTTTGCCTGATGATGCAAACCATAAAGAATGCATGGTGTTTATTCTCTTTGTTCATTTCTGAGCATTATTTCAGGTAGTGCTTGAGACTATCTACATGTTAGACATTCTGGAGCCTGACTCTTACAGGATATCTGTCTTTATGCAGCATTGTGATAACCGGAATCATCCCGCACATCTTTGCCAAGGAAAATGTCATAGATACAGAGAACTCTCAGCTTGGCGGTTTATTTTGAGAAGGTCTAGTCTTGTTGACTTTGAAGGCATGGATCTGTTTTTGTGGGCTTTTTGCACAGGGCTTGTTGGTGGGAATTTTGTTGACTTCTCCTGAAGTGGCATCTGTTATGTATAAACAGCTACCCACATATTCAGACTACGCTTTGACAGCTTTGCTCATATAGTGATTTGAACATGAGTGTGCCTTTATAACCAAACTGTGTATCCAGACTCCCTGAACACAAGCACAGCAATGCCTGCCCAGCCCTTGCCCACTGCCCACCCCCTCACAGCTTGCAGCAGTGTCAGCTGCCAACCAGGATGCCATGCTGTTCCACAGTTTAATCTTTCACACACACAGGCCTGACCAGAAGGAAACGTTACCAAATCTGTCGTAAGCCATGCAGGTACCTCGAGCACATCAGGCCCCAGCTTGCCTGGGCCTGGGACTTGTATTTCCTTTGGCATAATAAAAGTAGGCTATATACCAAAGCAAGGTTAGAGAGTTGTTTCATACTTGTTCCCAAGTAAATAAATAAGAGATCTTTCTGTATAAATACGTCGCAACTTTTACAATAGACTTTGTTTTGAAATTTGCTATTTCCAAATACTCTGGAAGAATCAGAAATTCAGTATTTAATGTCTTCCTGTAGGGTCTTGGAACAGACTGCTGGGGTGGGAGGCCTCTGGCAGAGCTCTGAGTACACAGGAATCACACATTAAGAGCAAAGTTCCTATGAGTTTGGAAAGATTTTCAGCCATATATTTGACTTTTAAAAACATCTGCCTTCATTCATTTCCAGCATGTTTATTTAATTTGAGACAGATGTCTCTCATTAGCCTGTTGGTGGGGCTTGGCTCCCTGAGGCAGTGTCATGCTCTCCACTGCTCGCTGTTGCTTTTTGAGTATCTGAAAGAAGAGCTTTCAGAGTTCCTCAATAGAACAGAAACAGGCAGAACAGTTCAGAGGCCACACTGCTTTTTTCTGCAATACAGTTTATCAGTCCACTTACCTATTTACGAGTCTCTATTTGGATGACATATCTTAAAAAATTGAAATATATGTCACTGGATGCCAAAGCCCTCCTTTTTCAAAAGTTTCTGCTAGTGCACTTTCTTCTCATTACTTATCTGGTTTCTTTTTGCAATAAAGCTGCAATAGATCAGTACATTCCTGATACCAATTGGGTCTACCTGACTGTGGTTGGACTAGCTGCGTTTCTAAGGAACCAACAAGCTGAAGTACTGGCCCTATAGCCAGCAGAAGGGATCAAATTGCTTTGTTCAGCTTTCTTTTAGCCAAACACTTACTGTATTAGGGGAATATTAGGGGAAACACATTCTGCCATAATAATTTGTCTGTAATGAAGCTTTTGCTTTCACCAGTGTGGGAAAAGAAACTTTCATTTGGCTTCAGTGCTGGCTCCTCAAGTCTAATGCAAGGGAGTCATTAGAATTATCTTATTTTTTTTTTAACTGGAATTCTGTGTGATAGGGAATAGAAAAAATAATTAATTAAATATCTCATTTGTGGCTTAAAATCTATGCCAAGAAAATGATTGAAAACTTATTAAACTAAAATTCATATTTACAGAAAGAAAATTTCTTTGTATCAAAAAATATCTGATGTTTGCTTTCTGGTAGTCGTACGCTTTCAATCCACAAACTAGCCAGTTTATTTTCAGAGATTTAAAGGCTATTATTTTTTAAAATTCAGAATCTTTCATTACAGCACTCAATTCTCAAATGCTTTCTATTTCTCTGCTCCGTGAATCTGGAAAAGATTGATACAAAAGTGGGAGGCTGTGGAAAAGGAAGAACATCTGACTCACACAGTTAGAAATCGTGGCCAAACCATTCTGCAAGGAGGAGGTAGAATGTCCTGGGAAAATTGAAAACTATTTTTTGGAAACAAGAAACGCCAACTGTGTTTAACGGGTCTGTGTGAATCTCTGTATTTGGCATACTGCTCTAAACATGTACTCACCTACACACACTAAAAATTAACACAAGTAAAAACTGAATTAATGAAACCAATTAAAATAAATGCACAGTTACTAAAGCCTCTTTTTGAAAGAATAGTTTGGATATTTACATATTAGATTATGTATATATATGTAAATATTATTAAGACTGATAAATAAGCAAAATAGAATTTTTCTTTTGATTAAGAATCCATTTTTGTGCTCAAAATGATGTAATCAGTTGTTTAATTTAAAGTTTGTACTCAAAGACAACTGTTTTGGAAAAGAAGGAACCTCTTTTTGATATTTGGAACTCTTACAGTGCTCTGCAGTTATGCATGTGACTTGAGGCATCTATCATCATATTTTTCATTACTAGATAGTGTTTATAGCTTATTTACCTATATAGGATATATGGGAGACCTGTCTTTAACAAGCAAAAGTTTATACAGTGATGTTCACTTTTAAATGTGTGAACACCTGAGATTTTTAAATTTTCCTTTGCACATGAGAAGTTAAGTAACCAGAGCACTCTAACCATGAGAATTCCAGCAGGGCATATGGGACCTTTCCAAATGTGTTAGAGTGGAGAGGCTGATGGGACAGGAGCTGCACAGAGACACTGCCAAGTGCTGGCTAAGGTCCTGGTCCTCAGGGATGGCCACTGTCACCTATAGCAGAAGCAGTGCAAGAGGTGCTGGATGCAGGGGCAGGCACTGAGGCTTATTCCCTCCTTATTAGACCCCAGACTGGCCTAAGAAGATAACTTACTTTTTTCATGCAGCCAGCTGAATAATTTCATTCTTTCTGATCTGACTAGCGATAAGAGCAGAAAGGTTTTCTGTTGGAACTCTGGCAAGTGTTGCTTGGGCTGGGTTACCTGATTGCAGTGAAAAACAGGAACAACACAGCTGTGGGAACACGTGGATCCTGAAGGGGTGGTAAAGGGGAAGCAATGTATCTTTGAGACAGAACTTGGACCCACAAGAGGTTTGTATTTCAGCTACAAAAGGCAAAATATCTGATGAAAATTAGCTGAAAATGGTAGTGGGCTACCAACTGAGAGTTGGGGGAGCAAAGCATCTTGTAGAGTGCAAACCCAAATGTTAATGTTTTTTAGCACAGTTTGGCTCAAGTTATCCTAAGTGTTGCCAAGCAATATGAAGACTTATCAGTTTCAAGAGGAACATGGACTAAAAGAGAGGTGGTTTTTTGTCTTGTTATCAGATGACAAAAATCAGAGGCTGCCTCTTTGTGTGGCGTTTCATTCTGTGTTTTAGAGCCTAGGGAAGATCCACCAGATAATGTTGTGTCTGTGTGTATGTTGGTTGCTCCTGTGATGATGCACATTTCTAGCCTATGCAAGGAAGACAAGTAAGGCACTAACAGTGACTAAGCAACTGTGGTACCCAGTAAGGCCCAAGGTGGGCCTGCATGGGCCTGGCTCCTGAAAAGAGTCTTGGAACATTCAATGGAAAAATACTGTCCTTCTGACTCTCACTTGTTGATCTTTAGCCAGCATCCTGCTGAAAACAGGGGGGAGAGACAGCAGGGAGATGTCTGTAGCCAACAGGAACCTGAGGCAAGGGGGGAATAAAAGCCTCGGAGTGCAGTGTAATACCAAAGCCCTGGGGAAATATCTTGGAAAGCAGACCACTCCTGCAAACCTTCTGTGACTGCGTGAGACTCTCTGGAATCAAGACAGATTTTGTCCAAGGTCAGAAAGCCTTGCGTTTTGCACATGTTGTTCAGCAGATGGTTGACTGGATTCAACCTTTATTTTGAGGTTTCCTGGGGATGAAAATCCCCAACACAGTGGACAGGGAATTGAAAGCACCCAAAAAGAAACAATATGTTCTTTGGGCTTTTCACCATTTGAATGACTGTGTGGAAGGCAGCCCAGCAAAATACGGGAGTCCTTCTGGGAATATGATCAGAGGATCTGTTTGTTCTTTTGTCCTTGGTAGTAAATGCAGTACCCAGATCTAATGTTTACTCAACTTCCTGGATGGATGAAACACTAGAGGGGTCCAGGAAGACATGACATTATATAACCACAATGACACTGGCAAACAGCATGGATGCCAGAATTCAGAGCTATTCACTGCATGTTCTAGGCCCTGACAGGTTCCTTCTCCTGTTTAGAGATAGTCACAATAATATTTTAGAAACTGATTTCCAGGCAAGTGATACACCTTGGCAGTCTCTAATAACAATTTCATGGGCAGAGCAGAGCTTTTGCAGAATGTGTAAACTGCCCGGGAGTCTCCACGTCAACTTGGCTAAATGTCGAGTCAGGCATGAATAGACAAAACACGAGGTAAAGCCTGAAGAATTAAACTGCATTTCATCAAGAATTAAGATAAGCCCTCTTTAGGTCAGGTAAGATTTTCACTGGAATCTCCCGTTCTATTAAGCAACAAAGGAAATTTTTGGGATGGTTTCAATGAACGTGAAACAATTACGTGATTTGCCCACAATGCAAAAGCAGAGTTGCACTGTGGTGTAGATCTGTATGGATGCACTTGCAAGACACAAAGCCAATTATAGAGCATTTAGAGTTTACTCTGCAGGTGGGTGCTTCTAAATGGTGTTCTTACTCCTGTGGGATTTTGGTTGCTACTTCGTGGCTGACGTAATTAATTCCTCCTTTACTACGTGTGTGTAATGCAGTCAGTATAAACTCACTGAGAAAAACTTGTACAAAGTGCTTCCAAGAGATGCTTGTACCTTCTTTGGCACAGGTAAAATTTACTTAACTTTTTGTATTTCTTGCCATTCTATTGCTTTTCAACTTATTACTAAGCAGTTTTGAATAGACTGGAGCTCAGCGGCACAATGTGAACTTATTCCTAATTCCAATGAATACATACACGATAGAACTGGGTTCTCTGACAGTATTTTTGTTGGAATTGTACTCAGAGGCCAGAAAAAGCAATGGAATGCACCCCTGGCATTCTTTTCATTCAACATATTGCCTGCAGATGATGATGATTAGAGTCATAAAATCTTCACCATTTCATGTGATAAGAAGGAAAGAAATACAGATTTGTATAAAATAGCTGTGCAACAAAAGAGCACATACAGGAGACATTAACTTCATCTAACAGAACTGCTTAAAGCTTAGGGCAAAAGATTGTAACATTGTCTTTGCAAAACATATTTCAGAAAGTAATCCATTTCAACCTTTCAAGGGAAGAACCTAAAAGTAAACTAATTTCTGCCCTTTTTTTGAGACACAGAGTTACACTCATGCTAAAACACAGACTCCAGCTTATTGTTCTAATCTGTTTCACCATACAAAAGTACAGGAATTTTGCTATAAAACCTGTCTAGCAGTTTAAACGGAACTGTTTAATGGGAGTAAAATAAAAGCACATCTTTTGTCTACAAGCTTTTTTTTCCTCTAAGTAGACTTAGAACTCCATCTACACCATCTAGAAACCAAAAGCTAGAAAAAAGAAATTTAATGGAAAGAAAACTTGCTTTCTCTCCTAATTTTGAGTGCTAAGCATTGCAACTTGATGGATGTTCCTGGCATTTCTATTGTACACCTAAAAGAACCAAAGAAAAGCAGAATACCCAGAAGAAATACTGGGGAGTGCACACTGCTTTTATGATGGAGCAAACTAGAATGCAGGGTTTGCTATGGTTTTTCACCCCTATGAAAGCATGATCAGCTGAGAAGTTGAGTCCCAGGGACCAGGACATCCTTAGAACCACACCTGTAGGACAAAGTTCATGGGAACTAAAACCAGTAAGACATTCTTGGCAGTTTAGCAATCTCCAGTTCTGAAACAGATTGCAGATATTCCCCAGATGTGAAGTTGTGAAAGCCAAGGCTCCACAGCAGCAAGCTGAATGAGTTAGAAAGGAAGCAGACAAGGCTCTCCAGCAAGGTACTGCATGTATCACGAACCCTCAAAAAAAAAAAATGATGTATATATATACTCTTTGCCAATTACATATTTAAATAAATCACAGTTTATTAGTGAAAACCTATCTGATAGAAAATTGATGACCATTCCTACAACTTTTTTTTTTATAAGGCCTTCATTCAGAGTTGGAAGAAAGATTATTTCTTACATAATTTGTTTCACTTGGCCTTTCAAAATAAGATGTAGCAGATCCAACTATAACGAAAAACCTAAAGCAGTAAAAACCTAGTCAGATTAATGGAAAGGAATGGAAATCTCACATTCCATTTCTTCCTCTGGTGTTATGAAACGAAAATTATCAATTTTTTGGACTCTATTAATCTCTAATAGAGTATCTCTAACAGGCCTACATCAAGAGCTGCAACAGCTATTGACTTTATGCTATAAATGCAATGAATATATACCTATAAATATAAATGCAATGGATATACCCCTATATTAATTTGTGCTCTATTTTAAGAGCATATAAAAATCACTCTGTTCTAAACCTTTTTTAAAAGAAGTAAGCCCCATTCTTAAACTCAGTGCTGCCATACAGACAAAACATATTATGTTGTTAGCAATCAAATAACTTAACTTTCATTTCTGAAACAAGGCCTCATGCAATTTTTAGGAAAGCAGCTCTTCTTTCTGGAAGGGACAGGCATGACCTGATGGTCTACAGATGTGTTCTGCAAACTGCCTTTGGCTGCCCTCACGGAGCAGCAGATGGTCTCCCATCATGAGATTCTTTTCACATATGACTTTTGCAGTTTATATGCTTAGTCACTACAGCTATAAATAGTCTAATTCCTTGAACAATTTATAGCTTAGTCAGTACAGCTATAAACAGGATAATTCCTTGTGGAAGATCTCCCTCTGAAAGTGGCTAATAAATTTATCAGCCACTTTCAGAGGGAGATCTTCCACAAGGAATTAGCAACAACTTGAACACGTGGCTGGTTCAAATAGCACTTGTTAAAACTTACAAAAATGCAAGTATATCAAGTAGCTCCCAAAAAAACCCAACAAAGAACAACTGGATTTGCTGCCCTGAGCCCCCACAAAGAAATGTAGCTTTTAGTGGTTGGTGTGGGAGGCAAAGGTAGGAAGGAGATGGTAACAATTTCTAGTCAAAGTTTCAGTCCTTTGCCAAGTCTGTCTTCTTTTGGAACTCGCCACATGTATTCTTTGTTGCAAAAATCTGTAAATAATTATAGTTCAGCAGAAAGCACTCTGGTTTCTATATCAGATTCCCATGGTTTCTGCTGGGAAGGGTCTTAAAACAGCAGAAAGGAACCTCTCCTAACCCTGTGCTTACTGCATTATTCTCAGTGTGTTGCCAGTGATACCACATTTTTGTTATATTGCGGTTTTACCAGAAAACCATGAAAAATTTCATAGCCAAAAGACTACAAAATGGTCACATCTGAAGCTCATTGAAGAAATCATTGGAAAAAGACTAATGTTAACTTAAGAGATTTCCAATTCCAAAGTGTTCTTTTCACCCTGTAGTGCATGATTCCTTCCTCACTTTTCTGAAGAGCTGTGAATTTGAAAGGGACTAAAATTTAAATTCTAGTCTAAAATTCTTCACATATTTTGAGGATGTACTAACTGAGGTCTGAGTTGTGCAGCTGACCCCACACTAATGGCTGAATCAATCACCTCAGTCAACAGGCACCTTAAGGGTGTAGGTTATTTGTGCCTCTTTAAAAGCTTCATCTGTTTGATTGCCTTACATATAATGCGCGAAGGAAGGGAGAAGGGGAAAGGTCACCTGTAGACTAAAAGGTTTAACCAATGGCTTGCCTTCAATTAAAAGCAGAAAATCCAAGTCAGTAACATTCCAATTCCAGTTGACTAAACCAAAATTTGTTATTATGGAGCTGTTGTTATCTTTATTGCAAAGCACCATGCCTTCTTGGTGATTTCTCATGGTCAGCTCCTCACAGCACTGACTTCTTCTTCACAACACAGCCAACAAACTGCAGCTATCTCCTCACCCACCTAACCCACTCTTTTGTAGCACTTGTCTTATTGGACACAGCTGTGGCCAGTTAAGGGCAGGCCTGTTCCTAATCTTTGGTGATTAGTACAGCTGCAGCTCCTCAGGTGTGAGACTACCTTCTACACTATTCTCTTACATTCTACCCCTCCACATGGAACTATACATTATTTGGTTTCAATTTGTTCAAATGAAACCCTTAGGTTTAGAAAAAATCTGACATCTCTTCATTCCCTTTCTTTTTAAGTAAGAAAAAGTATTTTCCTAGACAGGTAGCATAACAAAATATCTAAATATATTTTGCTAATGTTTAAACATTAGTTTGAATTTTCTGTATGGTTTTGGTTTTGCTACAAATGAAACTTCTAAAATGATCTTCATAGTGACAAAGAAATAACTCCATTTTTAGAGGACAGTTTCTCTCAAATCCCTTTTCATTTCATGCACATGGCATTGCAGATTTGACTCACATACTGTGATGATGAGCGGAAAGCGCTCTGTGCTCACAGCTGTGTTCTATGACACATGTTGGAACTGCTGTGAAATGCCTTATAAGGTATTGCCCTGGCTGGCTCTTCAGCATATTTGAGATGGTTTTGCATGATTTGCACACAATAAAAAGTTAAGTAATCCAAAACCTGCAGATGTACAATGAGGAAAAGGCTCGCAGGGATTAAGTGATGTAGTGTTTTAAACATATAAACTAAAAAAACAGCTATCAGCAGTCTCCAGTGGATGGCTTAATTTGGTTTGCTATGAGAGATTCTTGAGTCTTTATCTTTTCACTTAATGAGAATAATAAAGATTTTGGAGAATGAAGAGAGGCATAGGTTCAGCCTAGAGAAGGAGGCTGAGGGGAGACAGCATTGTGGTCTTCAACATCCTCATATGGGGAAGCAGAGGGGCAGACACTGTTCTCTTCACTCTCCTGACCAGTACCCAAGGCAATGCCCTGAAGCTGTGTGAGGGGAGGTTGAGGTTAGTATCAGGAAAAGATTCTTTAGCCCATGGGTGGCTCAGCACTGGGGCTGGCTCCCCAGGGCTGTGGTCATGGCTCCAGCCTGACAGAGCTCAAGAAGCGCCTGGACAACGCCCTCAGACACAGGGTGTGACTCTGGGGGAGTCCTGCACAGGGCCAGGAGTTAAACTCAATGGTTGTAATGGGTCCCTTTCAACTCAGCATATTCTGGGATTCTATGAAAGCTTCATTCCACTTTCTGCTTCATATTATAGTCAGTCTGCATAATCCAAATAAAAATACCCTTTAAAATGGGGAACAACCCCCATTTGAAGAAGCACAAATACACGGCTTATACATTTGAGCTGTATGTAGTAGTAACTACAGATAAAATGCAGAAAGTAAAAAAAGTACTTTCACAAAGCCTGTACTCCCTAATGTATTCTATATCAGTCATGTTGCTTTAGGATACTTTAATTCTACCCCTATATAAATATATTTTTCAGTTCTTCTGAAGAGCTCTCTCATCCAGTCTATGGTGTGAAATATTGAAAGATTACGGTAATATCTCATTGTAAATTACTGGTGGATAGCTAAAAATATCTTTATTCATACCATATACATACATAGGTTCATCTGATCATACACTATCCCTCTCTATATAATTTCTACTTTTTTTTCAAAATACCTAATTATCCTCATGATCACCAAAACCTCAGTGTGGTGCCTTCATGCCATCTATAAAAAGATGCCTCAGCTATAAAAAGCTGTATAGATGAGACAGTGTGGAGGAAGGAGACATGAGATGCAGGACAATGGTGGCCTTGTGTTTTGGGCCTTATGTGGAATACAGAAATATGCCAGAGTTCATAAATCCCCTTCAATGCTTAACAATTTTTCACATTTATACTTTGAATATTCTTGCCCTTTTGCTGATTAGGGCTGTTCAGCTGGACTCCTGTTCTTCTCCCCTCTAGTCTCTGGGTTTTAGGATCATTCCCTCTGCCCTCCAGTCTCTCTTGTCCATTCCATTCAGTGTTCCTTCTCCTTTACTGTGTCTCCTTCTGAGTACTTCCCCTCTGAGTAGAATTTCATCCCTACTCCTAAGCATTCATGACCCACCTCTGTGTTCCCCCTGACAGTCCTTGATTTCTCCCACTCTTTTTTAACCTGCTCCCTTTCTCTCTTAATAGGAGTCGACACAAAGCTGCTTCTGGAATAGCCCGATTGTAACTCCTAAGAAAACTTGTATGTCAAATATTTTCAGATTTTGTGCTGTGGTTCAAAGACCTCATACCTATTTTTCAGTTACCTTCAATGCTCCTGTTAAGAACAAGCCAAGCAATCAAAAAAAAGAAATACCAATATATTTTAGTACCCTGGTTCCACAGTCAGCAAAAACTGCTGCACTTATAATGTTCACTGAAGTTCTTCAGGGGCACTGGCAGCCAGACAATGGGGAACATGAAATGTCTATGGGCCTCACTGTTTTCAGGAACAGTTTTCCATGTAGTTGCACACAACTATCATTTCCAGAAAAGAGCTAGCAGGCACACCCTCTGGTAAATGAGACAGTCCTTACTAGGAATTCGAAAAGCAGGAAATTACCCTTTGTGTGGCAACACCTTAGTGTGAAAAAAGCCTTGTACCTGTGACAGTTTTAACAGTTCAGCACTTTGCCATTGCCAGCATGTTTTCTATGTTGCCGGGACACTTCTTGTCCTCTACTGTTGGATTCAAGGCATTTTAATCCTGAAATTTTAAATGCTGAATTAGAAAGGAAAACTGTATCTTCATCAATGATTCAATTTGTTTCAGTAAACAAGATAATGAGAATGTTATTCTCGCATATGAGACAGAAAGTCACTTAGGATGAGGATGCCAATGACATCAGTGGGGTCAGTCATAACATCTCCTGACTTTATTTATTTCCTTGCTGTTGATGCAAATTATATCCCCTATACCAGTTCTACTTTTGATCAGTCAATTCCCACCAACATCAAAACTGAAATTCACAGAAGAGGCATGTAACTTAAAGCTACAGCTTGTCTTAAAGGATCCAACTGTGCAATCCTCTGTTTGTTCAGATGTGCTTTTTTCCTCAGCTGCTCGTTCATTTCCCCAGATAAAATGAAATATCCAAGTTGCCCAATAAATCCTCTGATATAATGTTATTTTATGGAAGCTTGTATAAGAAAAGCCAGCAGCTTCTAACCTTTCAGGCTGACTCATTTCCAGTCCATTTCATTATAGGTAGAGGTGTTAGTCATTGCTCCCCACTGTTCTGTCCAGGGGTGTTGCCAAGCTAGTTTATAGTAATGCCATCTTTTGAAAGACAGCTGTATAGGTCTCAAATCCCCCTTCATACCATAATGTTTTTGCAAAGAAGGCTCCATTATTCCCATTCCAGCCATGCCTAGACACAGGTGCGAGCAAAATCAGACTTTTCCCCTCACACCGGTGTATCTGCTGGCCATGCTTATGAACTACATTCAGTGCCAAAAACTACCAGTGCTTCCAGGCAGTAACATCTGAATTCTGGGTTCACTTCAGGAGAGGCATATCGAGAATTCTGTTCAATAAGTCCTGTGACCAGATAAAGAACAGCTGCCTGTGTGTCTGGGAAAGGAGAGCACTCATCCTGCCAGCAACTGGGCACAGTCAGAGTGGAAAAGCTGCTGGGGTACAGCCTGGGGCAGCGAGAGGGAGTCAGGGAGTGAAGACAAGTGTAGGCCAGGGCACTGCTGTGAGAAGGGGATTCACCTGCTGCAGGGAGCAGCTCTAGAGCCAGCATGAGCAGTGATGGGTAGAAGGCAGCTTTAATAATGTGAGGTGGGAGCAGACCTGCTCAGTTGGTCCTGCAGACCAGGTATCTACAGTGGTTTTACACACAAGTTCTAGAATAGTCCTGTCACCAAAAAGGCCAACTATATTTGTGCAGATACGGAGTGTCCAGGAGCAAAACACAGCAGAACAGTGCTTTTCTATTATTACAGATTTACACTTTTCTGGTTTGTTATTTGTATAGCCAGTGATACACAATTCTATTGATGTACAACCTATCTTAAAGGAAAAGGCAGACATGGCATGGAAGGGCCTCAGGTCCTCCTCACATTTCTGACTGGCACAGCTCAATATTGTGTTTTCCTATTTTCTATACCCAGGAGGATGTTCTGTGGCTTACTGAAAATATAAGACTACAGACTGTACGAGTCAAAGTGGATTTGTCAATCCCCTGAAGAAGAGCCATCTTGTCCTTCTCTTAATGAACCAGTACCCCAGGAATTCTGAGCTGCTGCATATGTAACAATATTCAAGATAATTCCATTGCATTACTAAACTCACAAACATGAAGAAATTTTTTTTTGTATTAATAATAAATTCCAGACCTTTTTTTTTGTGCAGTCAGCCTCTCACCATTCATTCTGTGGTGCAATGATAAAAGAAGGAAATGAGAAATGGAAATTCTGGCATTAAAAGACAAGCTCACAGCAGAATGAAAAGGAAGTATCTCTACAGACTGATCATTGAAGAGGTGCATTACAGAAAAACAGTGTCAAAAATCTTCTCCATGAATTCATATCTGAGGATAAGAGAGTTTTCACCTTATATTCTTTGTAATAGCACAAAATGTGAACTAATTTATTTAATCAGAAAAACGCAAATGCATTTTATAAAAGTTTTGAAATCAGCATGTGTTTATTTGATTTCATTTTTACAGCGAAGCCACTTTGGCTCCTTTACTATGGCTTTCTTTTAGATCTTGATCACTTTTGAAGAAGAGAGAAGCAAACTGTATTTCAGTTTAAAAGCCTTTGTCATCAGTAATACAAAACTTCATCAGCTGGACTTTTAACACCCAGATTTGGTCTCCTCCTAACACTGTGTCAGCTCTGAGCCTTGTTGCCCTTGCACAGCCAATTTGATCACAGGAATATAAAAATTGATAGTTTGGTAGTTGCTTTATAGTTGGTTCTTTTCTCTTTTTTCCACCTTGTCACTGCACAGGCTACAGGAAGAAAAAATTAATTCCATTTATTTCTGCTTGCTCTAATGAACCACACTTGATTTCAGGAGATATGTAGTAGCACAAATAACAACTAAAGCCACAATGAGTAATTTCAGCAGAAATTAAGTAACTGAAAGAGCTCCTTGTGAACAGGGTATGTTATGATACATTCACTCCAGAGATTTTCAACATTGGAGTTGCACAAAGACTTAATGTGGCCAAGGACAAGAAACTTGATCATGCCAAGAGGAGTGGCATTTAATATGTCAATACATGCATCAGTCATCCGTACAGAAACCTGATAGAGCAAACAACTTCAAATGCAGCTGGAATGGAAAATCCCTTGAAAAATGAACTGATGTGAGCTCATCTGTGAGGGTAAACGAAACTCATCAGAGGTTAAGGAGAATTCCACAGAAGCAGTTATGCAAAAGGAACAAACTGTACCCACCTATGAGAAGGCACAGAAACATGCACTGGGACATTTCCCAAAGCGTAGAGGAAAAATGAGCAAAAAGAAGGCAGCAAAGCATAATCAGGCCTTAAGCTGTCTCTTAAGCATGGTGCAGAGAGAAGATTTCCAAGGACTTGTCCTTGCTCTTGGTTGGTGGGACACAAGCTGCCCAAGACGGAACAAACTACCCCCATTTAGAGAAGATGAAACTGAGGAAAAAGAGGTACTAATGAAAGCCTATAGCTTAATGGGCTTTACCACAGGAAACAGCTGGAATCCCATAGGGCATTACAACTCTAATTCACTGACTTGTTAAGCCATTTTAGCTCAAGACTAAGCCTTTCACACTTAGTCTTCCTGATTAAAATAGACTAACTACTAATTTACATTTCCAAGATCTCAGTATTTGTCATGAAGATTTCAACTGCACAAGTTGTTTTTACAATCTGCCTTTCTACAACATTTTGAGTGCTTTTCCCATAAACTGTGATGCTTTGTTATTTGTATATGACACCTTTGCCCAAACAACACAGGTTTCATTAGGTGCATAGAGAAGATGCAAATATGCATGATCAGATTCTTCTTTTCATTTATCTGAGAGTAACTTACATGTCCCTAAAGCCATTTCTGTGCAGGAAGCAGCCCGGACCAGCCCTAGAGGTTTTAAACTTGCAGGAAGTGTCTGAGTAACAGCATCTGCATCATAAAGATATTTTGCCATTTTGAATAATCTCAAATATTAAAAATCCTATAGTAATATTTAATGTTCTGCTTTGCAGTGGCCGTTGAAAAATTGCATCTTATTACTGATGTCTAGATTGTCTAGCTTTAATTTTCAAGCACTATCTGGCATCATAAGTGTGTCTGTGACTTAAAAGAGTCACCTCTTCTGCAGGCAGTTTCTTTTAGGTTAGCAGCAGCTGTTTCTTGTTCTTCATATCAACAAGTAAACAAGTAGAAGTTACTATCAACTGAAGTTAGTATCAAAGGAAGGCATAGTTTTCTATTCAAAAATTGTTTGTTATTATACTAATAATTTTTATTACACTAAAAGGAAACAAACTCTCCATTTATTGCTCATTGTTTCTAAAAGTGACAGTGGATAGTGACTAAAAACAACTGGGATAATTGAGTAATTAGAAAAAGTAAAACAATTGGAAGACATCATTATTTTTCTGATTCTATGACTCAAATCAGCTCATCTGTCTAGCCAGGAAAGAGACAGAAATTATTATAAAACAATGCTTTGCTCTTTTTTCTTTTACTCTTTGACTGGAAGGAAGGACTACTATTATTTCTCTTGTAATCACTTTCATTAATTGTGCCTCTAGTGCAGTACCAAAATGTTTTAGATGTATGGTGGTATCATGCTCTGATCTACGGTGAGTCAGCTCCAGGAGCTAAGCTAGTAGAAAATTACTATTTTATATTATCAGTTTCCTGGCAGTTTATCTGTCAAAATTGTTACACCAAGTGTTTATGTCAAAACACGTAAGTAAATAGGGCTGTGGCAAAACTAAATTGACTTGGCTGAAGTAATTCTGGAGCTGCAGTTTCACTGTAGGATTGATCTGAGTCTAACATCTGCAAATGAAAGCATCTCTCATTTACTCTGTGTATCAAGAATGCCCTTGCAGATGACAATGATTTATGATCTAGGTTCTTTCCAGCAAGACAAAGCCAGCAAACAGCTAGAGATGTGTGAGTTAACTCTAACCTTGCTGGTGTACTTGTAGCAGTGATGTTATAGAAACTAAAGAAACATAGCATATTGGGAAAGTTCAAAACTTTAGAAAAAAGGCTACATCAAAATTACTTTTATGGCCTCAGGGGTGAAAAGCAACATTCAGCTTTGCAGTGGCAGAAAAGAAGATTCCAAGAATGAATCAGTGAGGGGCTAGCGAAGTCTGAACAGTCTTGGTGCAGTAAATGGGGCCTTTGGGGCATGCTAGGGGCTGTCACAGGGTTGACAAAGGTTGACAAAGCTTCTCGAGGAGTGGGAGGTTCAGATGTTGCCTCAGACTCACAACGAACTGTGTGACTGTGGAGGTGGCTGTGGCCTTGTGACTGAATAGGGATTCCCACCCTACCTTGCTGCCTTCCAGCATTTCCTTCATCCTCTTCTTCCTCTCCAGACCTCAGTACAGGAACATCCCCCTGTCTATCCTCCCCCCATCTCAGCCCTCTAGCCCTTCACTCCTTGGTGCCCATGCCTGGCTCAGCTCTGCTGCATTTCCTCCTCTGGCTCCTTCCACCACTCCCAGCATGTGAGACACCAAGGGAAGCAAGGAACTCTTCCAGCAACATTAAAGCTTGGGATTATATTAAAAATGGCTCTGTATGCAATGTACAGTGCAACCAGCTCAGAGAGGGATCACACAACCCCAGCAGGAGAACGGGAGGCACAGCACAGGCCCGGGGGTCCCTCTTGTGCCTCCTCAAAACCCCTCACGGGGCTCTCCTGCTCCCTTTCGGAGGCCTCCTGTCCTCACATGCCACATGTCAACAGCTGCTCAGCCCGCTGAAAGACCCAGGGACAGAAAACAGAGCAGGGGCAATTTGTTTCAGTGCTCTTTTGTTTACAGCATTCTGTTCTAGTTTCTAAAGGCTCTGAGTGCCCAAGCCAGAGGAATTCTTGCAGCCCAAAAGAGCCTTTCTAAGCTTCACAGAGAGATTATAGCCTCAACACAAATCACAGAAAAACAGGGAAAAGCAAAACCAAGCTTGGCTGGCATTGGCTTTTTCTGACCCAGTTTGGATTTCTGCCCAAACTATCCACTAAAGAAAATATCATAAAACCATTCTGCACAGAATTTTTATGTTATGTCAGACTGGACTTTGCCCAAACTAAACAAAATACTCACTACACACAGTGTTTTTACATAACACATCTCTTAATCTGGAACATTTATGGAACAGATCAAAGTAGTGGAAGGCTACAAGTGCTTAACACAATTAGTTTTTAACTGCTCCATTTAATATGCATGCATCTGTTCACACATAGGTAAATAAATCTATCTCTTTTACTAAAATTCTCTGTGTTTTGATTTAAACTTTTTTTAGTATTTTTCCTTATACTTTTATATTATGCATTATGGTAATACATAACACCTTATGTATTAACAGCAGTAATTAAAAGTGTTTCAGACAGTTGGAAGGTCTAAAGAGAAATAGTGCCCAATGTTTTAATAACATCGTTTTTATAACAAGAACTTCAAAGGACTACACAACTACAGACCCATTTTAAAATTCTAGAGACATTTAAAATTTAAAATATTGAATTAAATTTTCAGCTCATGTGAAGTTGGATAACTGCAGAATACAATGAAAAACTACCATGAATTTATTTCATCTGGGGATCAAGAAGATAATGATATGGGGAAATAACCAATTTAGATTTTATGTAATTTTTTTACTCTGATGATGCTTTGAAATTAGGGAATTTTTTTTAAAAAAAATTAAATTTAAAAATCTTGAAATATTTTTGCATATTTTGCTTTTATGTGACAGAATACTGCAAGAAAGTAAAAGATCACTATTTAAATGAAGACGTATTTGCATATTTCTAAAGATATTGTGCAATCTTCCCCATTTAGAAATCTATGTGTCAAACTGACAGTTCTTCTGTTTGGAGATGTGACTTCACTGATCTGGCCATCCCTGTGACATCATTTTCAGGAAAGCAAATTATTGTCTTCACTTTGGTCTTGGAAAGCTTGGAAAACCCAGAGGAAGCACTCTCAGTGCTCCCAGGCAGTCTCATCATTGCCTTTGTCTAATGTATGCAGTTGCACAGTTTACACTTCATGTAAGAATCTATTTTCTAATTCTAAACAGAGGACTCTGAGGATCAGCATATTCCTTCAGCAATATTACTATTTTCAAGTGGAAAAATCAAAAAGTTTGCATAACTATTGCTTTAGAAAATAACTTCTAAGGCCTCAGGTTTTTTAATTAGAGGAAAAATTGATAAATATTACAGGCATACTAACCTCTCTCAACAAGCCTCCTTCTCCCAGTGTTAGTAGAGTTTAAAAAAAGGTATCTTGACATTTTTAATTTAAATATTTGAACAGTTTTCTCTCTTTGCCACATTAAATCACCAAAATAAAGTTGTCCAGTGTAAGCTGCAGGGTCACAAGTTCAGTAGCTGAGGAGGTTTTTGTGCAGTTGCTAAATCCCTGGTTTTGTTTCCTCTACTCTGAGCCCACTGTGCTCACTAGACAGCAGCTGCATATGACTTTTCACACTTAACCCCAGTCCACTTAGCACATGTAGTCATATCCATAGCCCCATTTCTATTTCACTTCATGTTTTAGTACTACCCCTCTTTCTTAATATATTCCAAGACCGAGGAGTCAGTGAAATTTTGTCTTCTGAGTCTCTCCTTATAACTAGACAATGAAATACACCAGTTATAGTATAGCATTCACCACTTACAGTAGAGAACCCTGCCTATAAAAAGTGCCCTTATAGCAGACTGCATCTTGCAGCAAGTCTACCTAAGATGCTTGAAAAACAATTGCAGTATTTCCACAGTGCTTTTCATACCGGTAACTATAATCAGTTGACAGCATTAGTGAAGAAATCTTCTAGCATGTGTTCCTCACTGCCTGAAATTAAAAACTTCAGAATCAAACCAATTTCCCTGCAGAAGGACCCCACTCACAGTGTCATGTCATCACAAGCAAAGGAAGAGCTGTTTTCCGTGCAAACTTCCTGAAACTTGCAATTTTTTCTCTTTCCCTCATTTCTGAAGTGATGTAATTTCCCCAGTAATGGCAGATTGCAAAGTGCAAATTCTAAGACTAAAGAACTAGTCCCTTTCAGTTTCAAATACTTTCATGTTCTGTCTGCTCTCCAGGTAATTTCTATGGACATTCCCCAGAATACCTAAGAGAGTAACAAGAAATACTTCTCTAACACAAATGCAACTCTAGCAATATAATGATAGTATCTTTTTGATCTTACCTAAATACGTTCCTTCTTTGCTGTAGATAAAATTCAGCTATTTCATAAAGACCTATGTATTTGAATTTTGACATTGAAAGCTTCAGACCAAACTTCTGAATTCTTATCACACTCTTTTCTACATGCCTTACACGTCTAGTCAAGTCTGTTGATTTGCACACAAAAAATAGCAATCATAACTCATTCCTCCTCTGTCCTGCCTTACATTACAAAGTCAACAATACAGTACTAACCAGTGGATTTAACAGATGTGTGTATTTAGATCAATTACCATTCAACTTTAGCCTAAATTATGAGGCTTCTCTCTTTCATCTTCCTGTATAACCATTAAAATTAAGTTGGGCTACTCTGTAGGGCCATTGAGAGCACAGGTGTGTTCTATCTCCACTGACTGAAAAGAGGCTGAGGTAAAAGTCCTAATGTCAACATTGAAAGTTAAAAGTATAAAGACAAACCACGTGAATATTCCCTGCTCCTCATGACTGTTACATTGAATGTTGTTACTCATATCTGTCCTGATCCACTTAATTTTAAACATACATTTGTTCTTCATTTTTCATTCAAAGTATACACTGCATTTCAACAGCAATTGAAGATACCCAAATTAGATTGAAGAGGGTCACAAATTTTTATATGTTCTGTATGTTGTCGTTACCTTGTCAGAAACACTGGTTTTTAACCCCAGAAATGTTCTGAGTTCAGGTAATGTAGAGTAAACAAGGTAAAAAAAGTGTTATGATAAAGCAATCTAACATATCTCACTTCTTTTTAACAGTTTTAGCAAACCTATTGGTTTCACTATAGTTCACAATGTCTACATAAAATAGTAAATTGACAAGTACTGGTCATTAAGTCAGTCCTACTTTAATATTTTGTAAGGTTTTAGAGTAGACAGAAAAAATGTAAAAAAAAAACACCTGTAAAAATGAACAAACATATCACCAATAGACATTTAATTAATCCTGCTCCACCAAATGCCCAGTCTTTTGGCACAAAAGAGGGCCTTTCTAGAAATAAACAGTAGGATTAATTCTTTTTCATATGCTAGGATTAGTGAATTTCCTAGGATATTCACTAATCCCAGAATGACAAGCAGACTCTAGGGCTCTCAGACTGTTCCACTCTGGATGAGATGTGTGTGACACTGTGATGTATGAGAAGAGTTATTTCCAACACAGAATTATCAGTGGCTTTGTGCAAGTCACCACCCACATTAACTACAGTAGAGCTGAAGGTTCACAAGTGTTAAACAGAGCTAATAATTTGACCAGGAGATCAGAGATCCCAGCTGACAACAAAACCTCAGAGAGCTTACCTTGTTTAAAAGTAACACATGGGAACTCCCAAACTGTGATCTCTGTACCACCTGCACAGACACAAAACAAACACAAGCTTAAAAAAAGCTATTCAGGTTAAAACCAAGTTTGAGTACAAGAGCCAATGAGTACAAGGTGACTATCAGTACTCTTAGGCTGATTCTCAAAGGAATTAAGTAGCAATTAGTCACACTTTAGAAGAGTCCAAGAGTGAGAAAAAAAAAAATCCAAGCTAAATGTTCATCAAATAATTAATCATTTTATGAAAGATTACATGATTTGGTATCTGCAATTTGGTGTCACAAATTACCACAGCTCTGTGTTCCAACTTTTCTTTGACACAGATCCCAGCATACTAACATTGTATAGCAGCATATTCATCATGAGCTTATAGTCATAGCAAATATACTTTTACTGCTGCCTTTCGTAAAAAGCTTTTAGGGAAAATATACATAGGATTAAAATGGTATTATCAATCAAGTGAAAAGCAGTGTTATTACAAAATCTCATTTGTTAGACTTCCAATATGTGCCTTTAAAGTGTTGTCATTAATAAACTTAAGTGTCTACAATCACAATTAGGCTATGCTGATGAATAGAGAATATTTGAATACTTGAAGCTGAAAGGTAATTCGCAAAGTGCTGTAGACAAAGGCAACATTAGGAATTATATCAAGAGCAGGATTACATTAAGTCCTTTCTTCTTACAATTAGTCTAGTCCAGTTTTGAAATTTCTGGACTGCTGACAGCAAATTTCTGAATTGCTGACAGAAAGCCTATTTCAGGACAAGTTCTATTTAACTCCTTTTTACCAGCCTCAGTGGTAATTCAAATGCTTCAGTAGTCATCAGATTCATTGGTTCTCTCTTTAACTCTTTATCAGACTCTCTCAGGTACTTCAAGGAGAGGTGAGATACTTAGATACTACTTTTTTTTTACTTGCTACTTGATTATTTGGTGTATAAGCAGGTGTGACTGCTTAAGTTTACATACCATGATGAAGCTAACTAAATAGTATCTACTATTAATCTGAGGTACCAATGCTATAGACTATGTATAAGAAAACCAATTAAAAGATAGGCTTTTAAAGTCACAATATGGCTATATTTCCTGCTCCCACCCTCATCCCAGTGGAAAAATCGTTCTGGGGAAGGGTATACACATGACCAGCTACAGCAATTGCAATACATCAAAGAAAAAATAAATAACGATACAGAGAAAAATTTTACCACTGACTATGGAGACCAGTGCCAAAGCAAGCAACAAAACACATTATTCTGAAGAAAGGCAAAGACATGCTGAGAGAGCTGCATGACAAACAACCCACCAGGAAATAAAATCTAAAAGGAACCTATGTTACCAAACTGCAGCCAGGCATTTTGGGCTAGACTGTACAATTTACATAGAGGCCTGTATTGAGGGTGTGACTTTGCTGCATTTTATCAAGCAGCTGTCACCACACCATCAGTTGGACGGTCTTTTCAAGACTCTGAAACTAGCCCTTCCTTCTCATCTTGTCCCCTAAGGTGAGGGAAGCTGGGGTAGTTGGATTTGACATGCCCTAGTCTGTCTGGAGAACTTTATTATTTGTTCACTGGAAAAGAATGTTCTTCAGCCCCATACTTCGCCTTGCAACACGTCCTTGTGCGAGTCACAAAGCAAGACTGGAGAGAGCCTCGTTCCCTGTACCACCCACACTTATCTCCAGAGTGTCTGTTGCAAGCTTTACTGAAGGGCAAGGTAGGTCCTCTGAACAGATGCAGCAAACACACGTCATTAAGCAATAAATGCCACCTTGGTCACTTTCTTTATTAAAGCCAAGAGCTTTAATCTCTTCAGTGGAAGGTGTGTATTTACTGTAACAGTACACACCCAGAAGTGTCTCACTGGAGTTATGGATCCCAATCAGCATTACATTAAATAAATACAATTTCTCTATCTTACTAAGATGAAACATTTCCTATTGGTCTATTTGTCTTGCTGTGTAGTGAGACACAATCTCATTGTTTTGTCATAGTGCTTTAGTATTTTATCTCAGGTGATTAGCAATTCCTTGAGCTTCAGCCTACTTTGATCACTGGATCAATAGGCTATGTCTTACTACAAACACACAATTTCTGTTAGAGTCATGAAAATTTATGTTTTCAATTTTATCAACATGTCAAGACTGGAACTGCAAATGTCACTCAGAAAGCAAATCACCCTAGCTAACATTTAGATTTATCAGAAGTAATCAAAAGCCTTATAACTACAGCACTGGCTAAAGCTATTTCCTAATACTGTGAAATTCTTGAAGTTACCACTGAATTTAGGTTTGTGTCATTTTACTCAGTGAAGCAAGAAAACTTGTATTCGTGTAACTGAGCCCTAATATTTTAAGTGTAAATTGAGGGTGAGGAGAGTGATAGTGGATATTATAGGATAGGCATTCTTTACAAAAAACCCCAACCAAACAAAAAAAGAAAAATGTTAAATGCAGTGCAGATTTGGAGCTAAGAAAATTTGCCCAGGATGTGACACAGCAGCAGGAATGCTGAGAAGGAGCAGTCAGCAAAAGGTGGGTCAGATCCATCATTCCATTTGCACACAAGATGCTCCCTTCATAACTTCTGCAGTTTGCCTGTCCTGCCTTAAAATTCCTAGAAAATCTATGAGATCAAGTGCTCAGCAAGGGAAAACATGATACTTGTTTTAACGCACGTCTTGCTTCTTCTAAAGGCTTGCTGGAATTGCGAAAAACTGTCCCTGCTGATTTCATATAATATTAAAAACATGCAAGAATTAATTACTTGGGTGGATTATATTATGAAATTACTTGCACAGTCCTCAGTTTAATGTGTTTTTTTAATAAGGGGGTCACATTCCTGAGTTAAAATTCCCAGTGATGGTATTCTCCGTTGATTTCTTTTTGTATCATTTTGAAGTTTGTTTTTCAAAACTGTATGCTATAATAAAGCTGAATTAATGGGTTGAGTTTTATAAGTCATATTACCTAAAGATTTTTAAGCTCTTATAAATTACTATACTTTGCTTAGTGATTTAAAAACAAAATTTTTCTCAAAATCAAAAATTCTCAGCAAAGAACTTCTGAAAGATGGCTGGTTTCCCTGTATCCCCTGTACTGTAGGTACAGACCTAGTCAGTCATGAGCTCAGCTTCCAGGTTTTGAAGGCCCTGTGCTAATAACACTGTTGATTGAATCTGAGTCTGGAGAAGAGTGCAAGACCAAATGCAGAATCACCAAAATACAATGACATGAACCATATCACTAAAAGCATTTTCTTTGTTTTTATCAAATCAGAATTCAAGCTCTTAGCTCTGTATTCACAGTGCTGCTAAAAGGAGAATGACTAGTTTGGCCTTGGCAGTCTTAAGCTAAATAATATTGATCACACATGTGGATAATGGCACTTTTGGATATACTCCTGGGAATTCATGCCTTTGAATTGTATCAGTTTAGTTTTATGTCTGTAAATACCCATATAAATCAAGATGTTATTCCTGGAGAACTCCCCTTTTTCGTCTTTTAACAACTGCCTTTTTAAGAGAAGAGTAAAAGGAGTACTAGTAATAAACAGAAGTAAAATTAAGGAAGGAATAAAATCACACCACAAATAAATTACTATCAGCAATACAACACAAATAAAAAAATTTCTGTAACTTCATGGCCTGCTTCTATTCCTCTTCCTAGAAAAGCAAAAAATAAAATAGTTCAAGCTGAATCAGCTAGATACACTTTTTTACTAATTTTCATGGCCATTTCTTCTATGTCTCACTGCTTGTAGAGGCATTTATACATTAAAAAGAAGGTGATGAAAAAAATTTGCAAATTCCATAATCAAAACTTAGGAATAGGCAGTTTGCCTATGCACTACTGTTTCTGAGAGCATGTTGACTACACGAGGAAATGGTAACAGGCATAGCATAAATCGCATTAAATTAGGATCCAGCATTGCATTAAGGCACAACAAAGTGTCTTAATGTGCTGAAAAGCTACAATTTCCAAACTTCCCTTTCTCTGATGTCACATCCTCTTCTTCAGAAATCCTGTCTGTCTCTCATGTACTTTTCACCTGCTGCTGCACATGAGGAAGTACATCAAGCAACACTGCAGCTCCAAAAACAGCACAAAAAGGGAAAGTTCACTTGGCCTCAAATAAAGACCAAATGACAAGCAAAAAACATCAAAGTTTTGAAACAAAACCCTATTTACACAGTTCTGGTGCTGATTACTGCTGTTGACTAGAGTCTGAGAAAAATAAAGCAAGATAATTTGGTTCTTCAAACACATTAAAATATGTGCTGTAGAATTTCAAAATATCAATATCAGAAAATTTGAAATGGATGTTTTGCAAAAACTCCTCTGTCAAGCTGAAAGTGGCACTTAGAAATATCTCACTGCAATCTATGTTTATATAGGTACCCACTTGGGAAACAGAAAAGAGCTGATTCTATCCCAAAGTAAATGCAGATTCATAACTAAGCCCATATTAAATGAGAACCAAAGTTTCCTTCCTTTTCACGTGTAGCAGTGCGTCCTTACTGGCCATACCAAACATGAAAATGCACAGGCAGGTTTGTGTATTTCTGTGTAAGCACAGAGACACACAAGACAACATGAGGCTCGGAAAGCCTGTGAGATACAGACTGTGATGTGTGGTCATCCCTGCCACCCCACAAGGGTTAGCAGTTGGGAGTGCAGCTATTTCCTGTATGGAAATGATCATGCTCTAACATTTTAACTGTAGATATGAGTAGAAAAGTTTGTTGGCAAATTTAAAGCAAGATTGATGTGACATCCACCGAGCTGGCAGTCAGAAGATACCATGAGCTGATGATCCCTTGACACAGAGGTACTGCTCTTGAGAAGGAAACAAAACCTGTGTATGACTGCTTTGAGCCTGCTAACAAGGCAAATACTATTGCTGACAAATGCAGGTCTTACACATCTAAATGTCATACACTTTGAACTTGATTTTCCTCTCCTTTCTATCATCAAATAAAATCCATAAAGCTTAAACTACCATACAGACAGTGTAAACAAGATTAAATATGTGTGCTTTTATTAGAGTTGCACAACTACACAAAGATTACAAATAAATGTAGTTAATTAGAACTAAATGATCTAAACGTTCCAAGTTCTACGGGTTCAGACTTGTTATGAACTACATACCATCAAATTACAAATCTAGGTTACAACTGAAAAATCATCTGGCAACTTCTCTCAGACCTAGAGAGAATTGATGCTTCTGTACTAATGGAAGGTAGTTTTTGATCTGCCTCAGTAGTAAACACTTTAGCATTCAGGCAGTTGTGTAAAGTAAAAATTAGTCAAGGGTTGGGTCATTCATCTTCAAATCAAAGACACTTGAAAGAAAACAAAACAAAAAAGGCCATTAGACATTGCAGAATAATTCCAAGACAGGTGACAAAAATACTTATTAAGTTGGAAATGGGTCTCTGGAATATCCAGTTCAAATATATTTTTTGCAATTAAAAACTTTCATTAAGAGAAAATTAAGCTCCTGAACAGACAAATATTTTGACTGTGAAGCTGGATTTATGATGAAAATTTTTGTAATACAGTTAAATCTGTGTAATTTTCTTGGTCAAAGGATTTCTGTATAATTCTCTGCATACTCCAGCCATACTGCTGTTATAGGTCAGTTCACTTATCTGGCATGAGTAAGCTATAATGGAAAAAAAACAGGTTTAAAACATATGGCATAAATATATATTTGGCATATTTTTTCCTATAATAATTACCTCTCTGAAAACAAGTGCTTATAAAACATTTCATCTGCAACTACTTTTCTGAAGGATAAATAAAATTAAGAA